AGTTATGTCGAAAATATGTTTCAATTCCATAAATTGAATGTTTAGCCCATGTTAATGCTCGTAGTGACCAATATTTATAGATTTTTTTTTTTAAATCACAATGGCAAATAACTTAACAGGCACAACAAAAATAAAATAAAATAATTAATTAAAAAGAAAAAAGTATAAAAAATTCAAGGAAATCTTAGGGGTCACATGACAAAGCATTTTATAAAATCGTCGAGGATTTTAATGAAAGTTGGCGAAATGTATGATCAAAAAGTTAACAAAGTTATAAGCTTAAATTTTCTCATATTTATATATTTTATCAACTTTTATAATATAAATAAATAAAAAAACTGATTTTAAGAAAATCAAACCGGCCTAAATTTGATTAGTTGTACTATACGTACATCACAGTTTCAGATTTATTTATCGACAGATCATGTGACAAGATTTGATTGATCAAAATCTTATTAACCAAAAAAAAAATCTTACACTTCATTGATCCGTAAAAAATTATGTAAATGATTATTTACAAAAAAAAACATTTTTTAAATCACACTTCACTGTTTTTGTTCGTATTGGCAGTTGGCACGTAACGCATGTGCTGATTCAAACAATAATGATCCTTTACTCAATCGTCATGCGCCACGTCAGATTTTGCTATTGCCATAAAGCGCGTCCAGGTTCAATGAACCCGAGTAGGCCGCCCCCTCTCTTCATATTTCCCCATTTAAGCCCAATATTTCCCTTCTGAAAGTGCAATTGAATCTCAGAGCCCATCCGTTCAGTTCTACCTGTTGAAATTCTCAGGTTTTGTAGATAGATATAGGAAGGATTTATATGTAATGGCTTTTGCTTTCACTTCATCTGGAGTTCATGGCTCTTCTTTATCTCATTCCTTTGATCAATCCAAAGGTAACATTTAAAAAAAAAAATTTATTTCATATTTCCTTTTGATTTTGTGAATTATTTTTCTGGGTTTTCTTGTTTCTGAGTTTTGTGAATATAATTTCTCTCTGCAGCTGCACCATTTGGTTCCTTCCAGACATTGGACAAGCCTCATCTCCCATCAGCGGCGGTGAATTTTTCCAGGCGGCATTCTTCTGTTAAGCCTTTGAACGCCGAGCCAAAGAGGAACGATTCAATTGTCCCTTCAGCAGCAACCATCATTGCTCGTGGTGCGAAATTTTTTCTTTTCCATACATAATTTGTTTAATTTATTGTCATTTTTGGACAATCTGAAATGACGGGTTGCCCTCCATTTTGTGGAATTCAGCAGAGGCGGTTGAAAAGGTCGAGGTAGAGGACTACGAAAAATTGGCCAAGGATCTTCAAAATGCTTCTCCTCTTGAGATTATGGACAGAGCACTTGAGAAATTCGGAAATGATATTGCCATCGCTTTTAGGTAATTTTAACAATAATGATTCACTCCGATCAAATTGATGAATTTTTGCAAATTGTTCTGCTTAGCGTTGTTAAGTAATCAATGTTTTATTTACACTTTAGGCATGTTGCGTCTAATAATCGCAGAACTATATCCTGAAAAGATTTATCTTTTAAGATTATGAGTTGAACTTCGATTTGTATCTTTACTTTTGGAAAGAACTACTAGTTATTTGTTGGTCGAAAAGTATGATTATTGTGTAATCATAGGACATCTGAAATTTTGCTGCATAGTAGAAGTGCATAATCTACTAATCAACCTAAGGCTGTGCCATTCAATGTAAAAACCATGTAAGTATGATAGATAGTGGGGATTTACTATTTTGTATAATGGCATCCTAGGGCAATTTTACTTTGCCGATAGACTGTCAAAACTAATTTAGCTCTTTTCATCTTCTTTGGATGGATGGATGCACCTGTGAGTTTACTGGGTGCATTTTTGGATCTTTAACTGATTGAGGATTCAGTACATGGATGATATTTTTTTATTTTTTATTTTGTGTGTGTGTGTGTGTAAAATTTGTATATGGAAATTGTGAGGCATTTGAGAATATTAGCTGTCTGGTATAACGTTGGAACTTTGCTTATAATATCTGAATAATTACTTCAAATGAAAATGTGCTGAGTCAGGATTTATTATTGCAGTGGTGCCGAAGATGTTGCCTTGATCGAATATGCGCATTTAACTGGACGACCATTTAGAGTTTTTAGCTTGGACACCGGGAGGTTGAACCCTGAGACGTACAAATTTTTTGACGAAGTCGAGAAGCATTATGGGATTCACATTGAATACATGTTTCCTGATGCTGTTGAAGTTCAGGCTTTGGTTAGGAACAAGGGACTTTTCTCTTTTTACGAAGATGGGCACCAGGAGTGCTGCCGTGTCAGGAAGGTTAGGCCCCTGAGGATGGCCCTTAAGGGACTTCGTGCCTGGATAACTGGGCAGCGGAAGGATCAGTCTCCTGGCACTCGCTCAGAAATTCCAATTGTTCAGGTTGACCCTGTTTTTGAGGGAATGGATAGTGGGCTTGGCAGCTTGGTGAAGTGGAACCCAGTGGCAAATGTGAAGGGTGATGATGTTTGGAATTTCCTTCGGGCTATGAATGTGCCCGTGAACTCTTTGCACACTCAAGGGTACATATCCATTGGATGTGAGCCATGCACAAGACCTGTGCTACCCGGGCAACATGAGAGAGAAGGAAGATGGTGGTGGGAGGATGCCAAGGCCAAGGAGTGTGGCTTGCACAAAGGTAACATTAAGGAAGGAAATTTAAAAGACAATGCCAATGGAGCAGTTCACGCAAATGGAACTGCCACGCACGCCGATCTTTTCAGCACGCATAATGTTTTTAAGTTGAGTAGGCCTGGTATGGAGAACTTATTAAAATTGGAAAATAGGAAGGAGGCTTGGCTTGTAGTGCTTTATGCACCTTGGTGCCGCTTTTGCCAGGTATATGTTTATCTTGATGGTAATTGTAGTGATGTTTATCAACATGATTTATAGTCTAAAATCTTATTATTTTGATCCTAACAGGCAGCAGAATGGTCATATGTGGAATTGGCAGAGAAGTTGGCAGGGTCCAGTGTCAAGGTGGGAAAGTTTAGGGCAGATGGAGAGCAGAAGGCATTTGCTCAGCAAGAATTGCAGTTGGGAAGCTTCCCTACAATACTTTTCTTCCCCAAACATTCTTCGAGGCCCGTAAAATACCCCTCCGAGGAGAGAGACGTTGATTCATTGATGACTTTCGTTAACGCTCTCAGATAAGACGTCAAGATCGGTTTTGTTTAGTATCTGATTGTAATATTTTCAAGAAAAACAGGAAAGGGGGCCTGGAGTTGGGTAAATGGAGAAAAGGAAATGTTGGGAAGTTCACTGGGACATTCTAGCACCGACGTTATTTTGGCCTTCCTGAGCTACAGTTGGTGATGAAATAGTTTTTTGCTGTTATAATTCTGCCTATTCATTGGTTTTTCTTTTGGCTGTCCTTTAAATCTTTGATGGCCTCAGTTTTGTAAGTTACATGATCGTGTAAAATTATCATTTGAGGCCATTTCTTTTGCTTCTTGGCTTGAAGGAAAGAGGAAAGAGGGAAAGATTAGTCTCTTGCTAATTGGTGATGCTTGGTAAATAATGAGCCGCAATATGTAACGTTCTGAGCCTGTGTTTAGTTGACTTTAAACCATATGTAAAGAAGATCCACATCAACAAATTTCAATTCCTCTTTCCTCCACATGTCGTTACCTGCACATCTGAACTAGAGGTGACAAAATGGATATGGATCGGTTTGAACTGGCCCATTTACGTTAGGACCCAAAACGGTTCGATCGTGATATCGGTTTTTTTTTTTTCAAATATTAACGGGCTTGAGGGTAATCATCAAGCTGAATCATGTTAATTGGCCCTGACCAAATTTTATATTTATCAGTAAACTAGCCCGCTTGAATTACGGGTTGATTTGTAGGTTATTTTTATCGAACCAGGTCTAGAGCAAGCCATGATGACCGTCCGATTGACAACACCAACCTGAACACCACACACAGTAGAGGCACAAATCGCGACTCCAAGAAAAAAAAATGGAAGGACATTACCATATCTACTTCAACATTCAAGTTAAATAAATGGACAATAAGAAACAAGAAAAAAGATGAATGCACGCGTCGAATTTATATATGAGGGTGAGATTACCAAGTTTTATTACATTGCACTTGCAAGTGCGAATATTTATAAGTGAAAGTGACACGCGATTTATGCAACGTGATTTTATACCGCAAGTGTACGGTGTCAAGTTTTGTAATATAGTATTAGAGTAAGAGTATTGAATCCACGGAGATTGATAATTGAATTCTATCAAGTACTGTAATTATTTTAACTTTCACTTTATTTAGACAGTCAATGTTTTGAAACGATACTTTATTGCTAAATTAAAATGAATGGGATGAGCAATGCAAGGTGAACAAGAGCAATTTATAAAGCTTCTAATCAAATTATGAACGCATAAAGAGTGATTTAACCGTACTATCGACAATGTTTTACAACCGTTATAACTCTTTCTATCAATCTTTCCAAAATTTATAAGCAAGAACTCTAAATTGGTTCAATTTCCCTCTCTCGAACACCAAATAGAATCTATTTCTATATTTGAATTCCAATATCTTTATTCCGAACTAAACATATAGAAATTATCAAAGCACCTAATTCTTTAAGTGGAATTAGTCTCAAAGATTCGCACTTTCTCTCGAAATCTAGATTATGTTATTCTTAGATCAAGCCTAAATTTGCCTCTCTCGAGCGTCGAAATTTAAAGCATCAAATCAGTCAATTAATGGCCAGTTAATTGAAAGCATTGCGCAAGAACAACGTAAATAAATAACCGGAAAGATTAATTGAAATAATTATATAGGAATTAAACCATGTCTAAGTAAGCTACATCAAATCTCTAGGATTAAAGTCTAGTTCATAATGGAATTGATTGAAATGATAAAATACACAATAAAGAACATGGAGAAGAAATAGGGAATAAGAAAAAACTAGTGTTGTTGCGTGAATTCTTCTCCCAATCGTCGTCAATCTTCTTGCAATTGCTTTCGTTGATCTTTGCTTCTTGAGATTTTCTCCTTGCAATCCTCCTTTTTTTTTTTTTTTATTTAAACCCTCTAGAAGAAGAAGCGTCGTTATGTTCGTCCCCTAGGTTAAGTAATATGATGGATTTTATTTCCATAAGAGTTTGTGTCAAAAAAGTTCCGAAAAATGCTCGTGCGCACAGGTAAACTTCCTTGCGCCAGCACTGCATATCACTTCTACGTTCTGCATATGAAATCCAAACCTGTGCATGCGTGAGAGTATTGGCCTGTGCGCGCGCCACTATGAAATTTTTCCATGTGTTGCACTTTGGTCCGTATAATTCATTCTTCGTTCCTTTTTGGTTCATATTGACATCTTCTTGATAATTCATTCTCCAATACTATTTGATTGCCTCTAGCTCTTCTTAAATCATCAACATTATGTCCGAATCAACTCTTTGTACTTTGCGATTTAGTCCCCAAACTTTTGATTAAACCAAAGTTAGCAAATTTCCCACTCTTCTGTCCAATTTCATTGTTTTGCCTCGAGTTACACCTAATAAACGTAATATGTATGAAGTTAAGCATCAATTCATCCTAAATAACAAAAATTGTTGTAGTTTAATGAATGAAATAAGTGTATAAAATACACTTATCAAATACCCCCAAATTTGAACAATTGTTTGTCCTTAAACAAAAGTTAGATCAAATAAAATCATCAATATTCACACAAACACAGCAAAAACACACAAAATTACTTAAAACAAATTTCGTTAGATTCTTACCTTCATAGCTCAGGATTGAAGCCATAACATCGGCCATATGAATCATTTCAAAGTAATAATGTACAAGTTAAAATTCTTACATATTCAATGTAAAATGGGTGTGTGTGTGTGTGTGTGTGTGTAGAGAGAGAAGTGCAACGCTATCTAAGAATAAATTGATTCAATTCTCAACCTTAAAAGTCAATTATTTCCTTACTTCGTTTGTGGGATTCACACACCCCCAAACTTTTTTTCTTTTCTCTTTCCCATGGTGTAATCTAAGGTTAATTTTCAATGCTAATCTCTTACATCGTTGAAGTTTGGTTAGATTTTACTGATTGCAGTTCCACATGTCAACAAATGAGGATTCTTCTTACTTTTGACCGCTTCAACCTCTAAGAATTAACTAAGTTACTAACCTCTTGTCAAAAGGTCAATCCACTAAAATGAGTGTTCGAGGCTTAAGCAAGGCATTTTTTTTCACCCCTTGTGCGGACGTCCTTCCCTTAAGCTTTCTATATGGCCCCTATAATGAGCTTTAGGCCGATGACTCTCAAATCAAATGATTTTAGGGCATCAGGTTTTAAATCCTTACAGGCTTAATTACTCGAGTCATAAAGGCTACGAAGAGACGATTCACAATGAATTTATTAAAGTTGTCCTTTTTGGGATCTTTATTTTTTTTATTTTTTTGCAATGCTTAATGCAATGCCCCTTATTAAACACACATTCTCAAAAATCGACCTCTAACTTAAGGTTTTCCCACAATTTTCATTCTATTGGTCTTAGACAGTTCACGCAAAAATTGACACACACGGAATCCACATTTATCTCCAAGTTTCTCCATAACAGTGCAATCCTCCAAACATCCTAGATTTTGTTTAAGGGTATACTGATGTTTAATGGTCGTTTGGGTTTAACAATCTAAGTTCTCTAGTCCAACTTATAAACATGAATCCATCTATTCACGCACAACGCTACAATCAACCCACGTGCAATATAATTTTCATTTCACATGAATAAGTAAAAACTTGACTCACACACATAACTTGTCCACAATTCATAAACCAATGCATGTTCTCAATGATAAACATCATTACCGATAAGGCTATCTAACTCACACAAGCATACAGAACATGATTTTTTTTAATTTTAATTTTTTTAACAATGCACACAGTTAAAAGAAATGCACTCAAATCACACAAAATAAAAAATTAGGTAACTAGACAACTTATGATATACTCCCCCCAAACTTAAATTGAATATTGTCCCCAATGTGAAATTAAAAGAAAAGGAGGAGGACTTTCCTGAATTGTCTGAATTGCCAATGACAGTCTGGTGCTCTGATGATGAATTTGATTGACGCTTCTTCTCGTTCCCCCCCCCCCAATCTTGAGATTTATCTAGCTTCTCTTTGTTAATGTTGGTTTGATTGTTCCGCGACATCATGTTCCTAAAAATTCAAAATGTAGATATTAAACTCATAGAACGAGTGTTAATTGGCTTGAACATTAATAACCAATTTGATTATTCAAAGACCTAAAGGGGAGGGGATAAGACTGATGAATTCTTAAATAAAAACTTCGAAATAAAATAAATTATCCTATAATTTAAAAGAAATAAAATAAAATAAGTAAAAATGTAAGAACACTTGGGTTGCTTCCCAAGAAGCGTTTCTTTATAATCACTAGCTTGACTCAATCGTAACACCTACGGTGGATCCTTAGGTGGCACATTTTTCTTTTTTTCGAACTTTACCCTCGACTTTGTATTCTCCTTCATTGTAAAATGGGGGACAACATTGTACGGTTTTGACCCCGGCATGGCCTTCAAGACCTCTTTTGGTTTGGAAATGTTGGAGGTTTCAAAGACCTATCTACATAGCTCTCTTTTTTGTCAGGTGAGTCAGCTTCTTGAGTTAAGATAAAATATACCGCCTTCTTGGGTCCTGAGTCATTACTATCAGTAGATGCATCACTTGCTGAGTAACTGATTGTCATGTATTGCACTAACGGATCATAAAGTAACTTCCCTTTTCCTCTGTTTCCTGCAATTACTTCAGGCGATTGGATCATTTTGCAAATGTCAACTTTTCCTTTTTCTGGGGCTTTCTTTTCTTGATGGATGTTGAAAGTTACTTGCTCTTCATTAACCCATAGTGTCAACTTCTCTCTTGCACATAAATCAATGCTCTTCCAGTGGCTAGGAAAGGCCTTCCAAGAATCAACGGTACTTTTTCATCATCCTCCATGTCCAATACCACAAAGTCCACTGGAAAGATGAACTTATCAACCTTCACCAACACATCTTCAATAATGCCCTTGGGATATGTGATCGATCTATCTGCCAGTTGCAACGTGAGGGTTATGGTTTCACTTCTCTAGGACCCAGCGTTTTGAACACTGATAGGGGCATCAAGTTTATGCTAGCTTCAAGGTCACACAGTGCCCTATCAAACATGATACCACCAATATTTCACGGGATGTTGAAGCTGCTTGGATCTTTCAATTTGTGAGGGAGTTTCTTCTGAAGTATGGCACTACACTCCTCTGTCAACTTAACAGTCTCGAACTCCTCCAACTTTTTTTTCTTTGATATTACTTCCTTTAAGAACTTGGCATAATTAGGCATTTGGGCCAAAGCTTCTACAAAGGGAATGTTGATGTGGATTTTCTTGAAGATCTCCAGAAACTTTACAAATTTCTCATCAAACTCTTTCTTCAAATATCTCTGCGAGAATGGTAGTGGGGGGCTTCAAGATAGGTGGGTTGTCCAGAAATGAAATTTAATAAGGCTTATAAATTTTCTTTTTTGCCTCTACCTCAGTTTTTTGCTCTTCAGCCTGCTTTTTCCTTGTAAGTATGGGATCCGATGTAGGCACCACAACCTCTCTAGGCTTGCGTTCT